TTTAGTTCCTGTGGTAGACCGCTGACTATCAGAGAGATTGCAGGGTTCAGTTCCTGTGGTAGACTGCTGACTACCAGAGAGATTGCAGGGTTCAGTTCCTGTGGTAGACTGCTGACTACCAGAGAGATTGCAGGGTTCAGTTCCTGTCGTAGACTGCTGACTACCAGAGAGATTGCAGGGTTTAGTTCCTGTGGTAGACCGCTGACTATCAGAGAGATTGCAGGGTTCAGTTCCTGTAGTAGACTGCTGACTACCAGAGAGATTGCAGGGTTCAGTTCCTGTGGTAGACTGCTGACTACCAGAGAGATTGCAGGGTTCAGTTCCTGTCGTAGACTGCTGACTACCAGAGAGATTGCAGGGTTTAGTTCCTGTGGTAGATTGCTGACTACCAGAGAGATTGCAGGGTTTAGTTCCTGTCGTAGACTGCTGACTACCAGAGAGATTGCAGGGTTCAGTTCCTGTCGTAGACTGCTGACTACCAGAGAGATTGCAGGGTTTAGTTCCTGTGGTAGAGTGCTGACTTAGCAGAGAAAATTATGACTATATACTGTTCATTTGTATTTATATTGGAATGAAAACCTATTTCTGTTCTTATTGCTGTATTGTCACAAGGAGCAATCAATGTGGAATAACTAGTGTTTTCTATAGCAGGTACTACCGTAAAATCTGTATTAGAAGCCGCATCTCTAATAGAAGTCGCACCCAATCTTTTTGAATAATTGAGAATCAAAAATTCATTATTTCTCATAAGTGTAGATGCTCTAATAGAAGCCACATCCTCTCTGTTGCATTGTACCATTTCAATAGAAGTCGCGGCTTCTAATACAGATTTTACAGTAATACAGTTGTCTGTCACCTGTCAAGGTTTTACTTGGCAATGAATTCACATCCAGCAGAAGCTAACATAACTATATTGACAAATAAATAATAAAATATTTACGTAACTTAACATTTATGTCTTACTTCCTGGTAATGAAAGTTTGTGTCTGAGCACAATAATTTTGCCTGGCATGAGGATGGAAAGTAGTCTTGTGTGAGGGCACGTGTGTTATCTCTCTGTGGCTCCCATATGATATAATTGAATTCTTCTCGTTAAAATAATCATCGACTATGCCAACGGAACAACTGCCAATGGATCCAGAAAAACGAAAAAGACCCAGATTAATCAGATTATTCATATGTTGAAACAAATTACTGTAAAAATTAGCACAATACATCATTTTGAGATCATGTGATGAAAATTTCATTCTTACTTTATTTATTTGCAAAACACTGATTATTGTGATCACCTTGTGAGAACATAAAATGTTTAATTTGGCCACAATTCTGATTATTAGAGCAGTGAAGCTAGCATGCACCTTTCAGAAACAAGATCAAGGTGTCTACCCTAATCAAACGGTACTTTCATTGTTGTGAGTATGTTTGCATGGCCTGCTTAATTTTATAATTAAATTTCAGGCTTCTAACTCATGAACTGTACAAAAGTCAAATCTCTTAGGATACTTAGATTTTCAAGTGTGACTTTATAATGTACTTTAACCACATATTTTGGTTTTTCAGTTGATGTTGACTTTGAGTATTTAGAGAATTATGCTGAAGACAGACCTGCTAGAGGCAATCGTCCCATATTTGAATGTTATTGGAATGGCAGACTTATACCTTACACATTTATAGATGAGTAAGTACACTCAGTGTCATGCCTCAACAAGGCTGGGCTTCATCAAATGTTGTTGTCGCTAATATGTTCAGAACTTCAGAGGCATTAGAAGCAGTTGCTTGAGGCCAACATGTTTGCGTTGGTGTCTTTTTATATTTCTGTATTATTCCTATAATACCATGATTATTTTATTATTTTGGCAGATTATGCAAGGCTTTTTCTAATAGCAATTGACTTTTGTGACACTATTTTCCAGCTTTGATTGGAACGCAGTATCAAAGAAGAGAGGCCCGATTCCTGTTGAGTGTTATAACAGACTCTCAGGAGTGCTGTGGACAAATGATAAGTTTCAAGTCAGTACAAATAAGTTGACTTTCTTAGATCTGGAGTTGAAACTGAAGGACAAAAACACAGTATTTAATAGAGTTGTACAAGGCCAGGTATGTCTCTACAGACTTTCTCTTCTTGTCACTGCTTCACCAGTAATGTAATTTTGCATTGAATCACCATTGTCAAATACATTGTGTATTATTGTGGGAAATGAAATGGGTGGAAAAACAAGAAAGACACGTGCTAATCTTGCCTATGTATGTGCTATATTGTTTCACAATTTTTTTTTTCTTTTACAGACGCAGAGAGTTAAGATTGAGCGAGCGTTCTCTGATTGGATCAGAGAATGCCATGAGCAGCAAGATAAACAAGTGATGTTTAGCGGTTATAGCGGCTCAGTAAGTCGTCCTGAGATACCTGTGAAGAGGCACCAATCACCATGGGCTGTCTATAAATCTATTGAATGGGATTCTAAAGTGTTTGAAACAGGGCAGCTGGTAAGAAGTTATTAGATTACAATTTGCATTGTTAAGTTCTTCACTCCGTGCCGCTGGTTGTTGGTATCGCTGTCGACCGTTGGTATTGTAGTCGGTTGTGGGTATTGCGGTCAACTGTAGGTACAGCGGTTGATTGTTGGTATCGCTGTCGATTATGGGCATTGCGGTCAGTTGGGGGTAACGTGGTCTGTTGTAGGTATCGGGGTTGATTGTTGGTATCACGGACAATTGTGGGTATCGCTGACAATTGTGGGTATCGCTGACAATTGTGGGTATCGTGGTCGATTGTGGGTATAGCGGTCGATTGTGGGTATAGTGGTCGATTATGGGTATCCCGGACGATTGTGGGTATCGCGGTCGATTGTGGGTATCTCGGTCGATTGTGGGAATCGCGATCAATTGTGGGTATCGCGGTCGATTGTGGGAATCGCGGTCGATTGTGGGTATCGCGGTGGATTGCTAGTAAGTCAGTCAGTCAAGTACATTGATTGCAATTATTGATTTGAACATGTCATCAACTTTGTTTCTTTACACAAGAATTTTTTTTGAGACAAGTATATGTGAACAACAGCATAATGTAAATGATATAAAATTCAAGGAAATCAGATAATGTTTGAATGGTAGCCAACTATGTAAAGTCTTGAGGAAGTGTCAAATATACAAAATCATTTGGTGAGGTTTGAAAAACCAGAATTTTCAGCAATTGAAAATTATGTCTTTCTGCGTATTTTTGTCTGTTTCCCACATAAATCTGGACATGAGGCTTTATAGTTGTTGTTGAATGTATTCTGATTAGCTAGCGTACATATCAAAGGTTTGTCAATAGCCCAAAATAATTCATATTTTAACATTACAGTACACAATATTATATGTGCTGCTTATAGAGCTAATAAGGTAGCATTAATTTGGAGTTTGTTGTGAAAATAAATGTTAAATCAACTCGATGAGT